CATATAATCAAAAGACATATATTACATATACACAGAGAAAGAGAGAGACAGACACAAAGACAGAGAGAGAGAGAGTGAGCAAGAAATCTAAGTGGCCCAGTTAGTCCAGAAGGGCTGTATTCACCATTTTATGGTGAATTCGCACAAAGTAAGCACTCATATGATGGTCAGAAGAAGCAGTATAAGGATACTCTCAAAGTCTCTCTGAAGAACTTTAGTACTAACCATGAGACTGCCCAGGATGGAATGCCCACATCAAAGATGGTTCTATACTCCATGAGCAAAGCAGAATCATAGAAGCACAAAGGAAACATAAGCTGCACAAATCCAGAGGCACCTTCTAATGGACCACCTGTGCCTGATCTGTGGTAGTGCCTTTCAAATTTGTATTAGAGTGATCAGTCATAGCCAAACATACCATACCCTGTCTCCAACACTGTGATGTCGCTGGTCTTCGAAAATGAAGGATGAAGAACAAGAAAGGTCAAATCCAGCTTCTGACACTTACTAGCTGTGTGACCCTGGGCAAGTCACTTGTTTGTATCTGTTTCCTATATGTAAAATGGGGATAGTAATAGCACCTATCTCCCAGGGCTTTTGTGAGTATGAAATGAGATAATAATTGTAAAGCACTTAGCATTATACCTGGCACACAGTAAGTGCTCTACAAATGCTAGCTGACCTATTTACATGATTTATCTTATTTGGCTTTAATGATAACAGAGAGGTAGGTAATGCAGATATCATTTCTATTTTACAGATGAGGGGCTGAGAGTGACTGCAGTCTCACCACAGTCAGATAAGTGAGCTAGTAAATATCCTAAATGGGAATCAAACCCAGTTGTCTTTCCACTACAACAGACTGACTCATCACGAGTGCTTACCATATGCTAGAGCACTGTGATACAAGCTGATAATACAAAGATAACTGAAGTGTATTCCACAGAGTATCAAAGGGATCTCAGAGACCTCTGAACAAGAATCCTTTATACCCACAACTAAAAAAAGTCATCGAGCCTTTATATGAAGACATCTAGTAACCCTTGGAGTGTGTTGTGGGGAAGGAATATTTGGTCAGATATGGTTTTGTTCTACATGAATTCTGGAGTACTTCCAGTTTTTATATTCCATGATTCTGTGACCCCATGACCACTTGAAGAAACCCATTTCACTTTCAGCTAGCCTTCATTGTTAGTTTTCCCTTATGACAAGTCCAAATCTATCTCTCTGTAGCAGCTACATATTACTCCTAGACTGATGCAAAAGCAGGATAAGTCTGACTCTTCTTCCACATGAAAGCCTTTAAAATATCTGATGACAGTTATCAAATGGTATGAATTCATGGCCTTTCACCATCCTGACTGCGTCTTCTATGTGCTCTCCAGTTTACTTAATATCTTTCTTTTAATTCCTTGATTCTGACCTCTAGGAATTTATAATCTAGTTGGAGAGATGACATGTACATAAATAAAGGTAATGCAAGTCAGAATGTGACAAAAACTATAAAGGGAATAAAGTACCAGGAGAATTCAGAGACAGAAGTGGGAAAAATTAAGGAAAATTTCAGGAAACATTTCAGCTGAGCTTCAAGTATAGGTAATATTTCAGCATGCACAGAAGGGAAAATAGGGTATTCCCAAGAAGGGAAAAGTTTAAAATGGGACAAAATGGGGAGAGAAGCTTAGAGAACATCCTGGAATTAACAGTAGTCCAGTGCAACTGAAGCAGAGGCTATATAAAAGCTAAGGACAGTCATGGAGGATATTAAATGCCAGGTTATGAAGTCTGAATTGTAATTGGAAAGCAACAGAAATTATTTTTGAGCAGAAAGTTGACAGATCAGAGATGTGTATAAAGAGAATTCATCTGGCAGTCACATGCAGTACACATTGGAGGAAGTGATACTGGCTGGACACAGTGCCCTGAGAGGTAATGAAGCTATGAAGTAGGATGGGAATGAAAAAGGGGTGACAAATGCCAGACTGACTTCCATACATATGCTGTTGGGTCACTTTGTCATAATACAATGTCTTTTTGCTTACTTTAAGAGACAATGCTTTACAAAGTGCTTTTTAAGCATTCTCTCATTTGATTCTCACAAATTCCCACTGGATAATTAGTGCATATATTGTCACCTCCATTTTACAGAAAATGGAAGGGTGGCTCAAGCACCTTTTTGAACCGCAACTTTCTTATCAGTAAAATGAGGAAGTTGGATTAGATAATTTCTAAGTTCCCTTCCAACTTCAATATTTAATGTTTCTAAGATTCTATGACTTTATCATAGCAGGACTATGTGACTTACAATTACACATTAACTTATTATGCCAGTCAACAAAGTAATGCTCACATTTCTAATGCTTTAAGGTTTACTAAGTAGCAAACCAAAATGGAGTCTCTTAACTTTTGCCTATTATACTGGGAATCTTAACCTGAGACTCACACCTCTGTCAACATATTTCAAGGGGGTCTATAAATTTGGATGGGAAAAAAAAATACATCTTTATTTTCACTAACTTTACTAACCTCTAGCTGAAACTAGCATTTCCTTCAATAACAAGACATTACCCTGAAAAGGATTATATAGGCTTCATCAGACTGCCAAAGTTGTCCATGAATCAAAAAAGCTTAAGAACCTCTACTCTAGTATTAGGTTTTGTTTATTCTGGTCTCATTCACACATTCTTTTAAATCCATACAAAGAATGCCTCATTATGAATTTCGTCACTACATTTATACTTCATATGGTTAATGTACCCATGACTAATGATACTCTTTATAAAAAATTAATCGTACAGAGAATTTTATTATTCATGTAGACATACCCATAATAACTTTAATTACTTTTAGCCTTACTTTCTTTGGACCAGCTGTGATCTACAATTATGCTGCTTTCTTCATTGGCACTTCTACTCAAGGGCATTTTCTACAGCTGTATTTGGCAATAACAAAGCAAGGGTGGGGACTTCCATGACCTAAACTGCATGTTCCACTCATATAAAGTGAAACACAAAACCCTGGACAATATAATCACATTCTCTAAGGCCAGAAAGCTGGAAAAAGACCTAAAGATTCTTTCTTCTTATTTATTTTCCAACCTGCTGCACTTCTCTGGACTTCTTCATCATGTCCCAACATTGGGTACCTTCCCTCCCTCCTCCTACTCCCTTTTCAGCTTCCTTTTGTGTTATCCTCCCCCAAGAGATTTTAATATACTTGAGAGCAGGAACAGTCTTTCGCCTTTCTTTGTAGCCCTAGTACTTAACATAGTGCCCGGCACACAGTAGGAGCTTTTTTTATTTGACCAACTAGAAAAAACCCAAACTTTGGTAGAGGTTTGGCTACAGCGAAGTGAAAACATTTGGCACTTGGTCTCCTTACATTTTTGGTCCCATAGGTGTTATTTGCTTAGTAATTAATTCCTGGACACAAACTTCAGACAATGAGTCAATGCAAAATAAATGCTCATCCTGTGGAAATAGAATCACTACTAACACTTGGGTAACAAGTATATTTTGGCAAAAAGTGCCAAATACCCGCATGCTTCATGAAGTTGGGGCAGCTTCTTAAATGTAACCATCTCTTGTCTTCCTCCTTAATGAAGCCACAGGGGAGTTTCTCAGAGCTTCTGTACCTCTACAACCCACTATGTTTAAGGCATCCTGTGCAGCCTTTCAGTGGTTATAAAACCACAATTTTGCTCCATATGGAGCCAATCATAGACCTTAAATGTATGTTAGGCTTATTAATTATATCTCTTCAGGTCCATGAATAAGGACAACAGTCTAACATAGGAAGCAAAGGGCTATACATCTCCAGTCTCATAGAAAGTAAATACTCTACAAACATAGTATTACTAACATCCTGGGGTTCTGTAGTTTGCACTCCAGCACACTGATACTCCCACATTTGAGGTATATCATATTTGAAAAATATACATTTGCTTTCCCAGAAGCCACCAGCACAGATTTATGTACTGTTACTAAAAGTATGCCTACAGTAATAAGAGTAAGGAATAAAAATACTTTGTATCTTCTTTGTACCTAAAAATGTGTTATATATATATACACACACACATATGTGTATATATATACACACACATACATACATATCTCTCTCTCTCTCTCTCTCTCTCTCTCTCTATATATATATATATATATACATATATGTACTAGACATTTAATAGATATTTATTGGATGGATAGATGAATGAATGAAAACATTGTAATAGTGGTCTTTAGACTTCTAAATACTTAAAATAATGAAGATTAGGACTTAAGTTTCCACAGTTAAAATTTTAAAATCTGTACTAATAACTCAAAATGTATGTTATTAAAACATAAATCAACACTAGGAATTAAACTCTGAAAACACATGAATAGCAATACTCCATAACCTGGATTCCATGATTTATAGCATTATGAAAATTAAGATTCAAAGAGTAAAACCAATGAAGAGTAAGTGACTACACAATGGAACTTAGTACTTAGGGAAAAAGGCAATTTTCTTAAGGGTAGGGAAAATCTATTAAATTGTTTTTTTTCTAAATTTCCCCTACAAGGTACACCACATTGCTGAGCACACAGTAGACCTTTGACACATATTGGCTTACCTAACTTAAATATTCTTAAAAACTCTAGTACGAACAGGCAAAGAATTGAATAAATGTGTCATATTTATTTATTTAATGGCATGGACATTAAAAATATCTCAGAGATTCTTCTTTCAATTTAATAAGAAGAATGAATTGTCTAAGTATGGCTGAATCAAAATGAAAACTGTTCCAATATCATTTTTGAAATTCATGTACACTTACTAGCTTTTTTCAACCAAAATTACATTTGGCTTTAAGGCACAACGAAAATATTTTACAGTATGTTTAGAAATCAGAATAATTAAAAACAATGTTAAAAACAGAACTAGAACCCTCATCTAAAAGAATGCTTCTTTCTAATAAAGTTTACATGTGAGCCTTAGTACCATCTATATATTAAACTTACCCTTGTAAGGCTTTATGTATTTGTTTGCACTTCTTTCTCAACACCTGAAAAATATCTAATGAGAAGAAAAAAAAACCCTACGTTATTCTACTTGGGTTATTATACACCTAAAAAGAACACTCAACCATACCACCTTTTGAGTTTAACTGAAAACTTCTAAAGAAAAGCAGTAAGGACCAGAAAGGCTCTAAACCACTAATTGCAACAACTGAAGTTCTCCCTGCATGCAGGGAACAATAACTATTATTGGTGGGTTACTCAAAATAAAGCTCTAAAAGTACATAGACTATTTGCCTCCTCATTCACTTATACACATTTTGAACAAAATCTGATGTTTAAAGGCAGGAATGGTTTTGCTGGAACAGACTGACCTTCTAAGTGAACCTAGATAAGAGGGTCAGCAGTAAATGCCTAGCCTTGCAATAACTTATTACTGGACTCAAAAGAAGCTGAATCAGGCCAAGAAATACATATGAAGGGGCAGCTAGGGGGCACAGTAGAGATAGAGCACTGGCCCTGAAGTCAGGAGGCCATTGCCTAGGTCTCCCCTTCCCCCAAAAAAAGAAGTATGCATGAAGGTAACTTTTATGTTCTGTTTCTAAGGATGCTTGCTTAAGGAAAATTTAGCCTTCAGTATTTGATTAGGAAATGTAAAAATCAAGTGATTTTTAATGAACACACACACATATATACAAACACACAATTTTTCTATTTCCTTCAATTAAGAGCAACACTGAAATTTTAGGATGAGAAGTGGCAGGTAAGAAACACTTTTTCAACTTGTGCACCTTTAATAGTCAAACTATTGTTTCTTAGCTTATTTCCTAGTAAATCATTTATTATTTCATAACTGAAAGGGTTAAAATTTTTATTAAAGCTGGGTAAGTTCATGAAAATTGGCTAAACGGTAGCCAATAATTTCTAGTAAAAATGAAAAATAAATTCATTCAGTAAAAGTATTAAAAAGTTTATAGAAAAAATAATTCTCTGAAATGTGTTTTAAGTATTGAGGTTTTTATTTAAAAACTGAAAAGCAAAGACGGTTTGTCATTTCCTTGGGAACAGAAAAATGTATATAAAAAGCAGAAAAAAGTATTTCATTTGGAAGAATGTCATTCAAGAAGTCTTGGGATAACGATAGTAAATTTGTCCTAATATGAAATAAAGCTGAAGTTACAAAAAAAAATATCCTACAAAATTCAATATGTTTTGATTCTAAGATCATACCCAGGAACTGGTAAGGCACAGATATATACAAAAATGGGACAAAAGAAACATTTCTTTACAAATGGTTAATTGACTTGCTTCAAATACTTTTTTGATAAAAAACCTGGTATGATCTGATCTGGGCTTCGAATGAAATTTTAGATTTCATTGGCACAATGAACTCTGGGGTAAGGAAATTCCCTGAACCAATGCAGGTTAGCATCTTCTCTGCAACTTACAGTCTCAGATAGCTGTCTAAAGTACTGAAAGGTTAAGTCATTTGTCTAGTGTTACACAGTCAGTAAGTGTCCAGATATTCCTATTTAAAGGCCCTTTCTTCACTATTCTATAAATAAGGTAAAAACATGAAAACACTACCTATTTAGATAGGTCCTATCAATGCTGAGTAGTCTTTTTTTTTTTTTTTTGCTTTTAGGCAATTGGGGTTAAGTGACTTGCCTAGGGTCACACAGCTAGTAAGTGTCAAGTGTTTGGTCTGAGGCAGGATTTGAACTCAGGTCCTTCTGACTTCAGGGCCTGTGCTCTATCCACTGTGCCACCTAGCTGCCCCAATTTGAATCTTCTTATGAGAAGGTTATAAGATGCCCAAATACCTTTTGAAATGCTATGGACTTTTTGGTATGCCAAGAAATTATTATTACTCAGAGGAAGAAGGGGAAAAATGAGAGGGAAAATACCTTATATTTGTTTTTCTCTCTCCCATTTTCCTCTTTTCCCATTCAAATCAAGAAGCAGAATCAAGCTACTATACAGGGAAGCAGCTCTAGGAATGTGAGAAAGAAATACTAAAGCAAATCCATGAAAAGGAGTTATTATCTAGCAAGAGATTCTTCCTTGGGTTGCATTTTAAGCACTTGGGTTTGTGATATAAAACCAAAATTTCAGACAAAAATATAGGTGACATTTCCTATGCACAATTCTAAAAGATCAAACCAGGAATTTAATGCCAAAGAACTTTGATCTTTTACTAAAATCTTCCAGAATAAACAAATACCTGGATTCTCTTCCATGATGTTGAGAGCCTCAATAGCAGCTGCAGCTAATAGGGGAGGTAGAGAGGCTGAAAAGCAATATCCTTGGCCAGAAAGTCGCTGTGAAGAAATAAAACCAAAAGAAATTCTTTCACACTACCACTTTATTCTCTCTTAAAACCCAGCCATAATCCTATTGTCCTCTATTCCCATTAATGTAGTAAGCAATAAGACTTTCTAAATAGCTATGGATTATGCTACAATTGGGGAATCCGAAAGTTAGATACTATTGCTTACCTTAAATTATAACTAAATTATGCTTTATGAAGGTTTTTGCTATAGTTTCCTGGATAGCATCATAGAATCATGTCAGTTAGGAGAGAATTAAGAGGATTCAGCACAACTTATACAAAGCCAGAAACCCTTCTACAGTTTTTTCAACAAGTGGTCACCCAGATACACATAAAGACATACAGAGATGTAGAATTAATGATTTTCCAATACCATTCTATTTTTAGACAGTTCCAAATAGTAGAAAGTTTTCCTTTATATCCACCCAAAATCATCCTCTCAATAATTTTTGTCCATTGCCACTAGTTCTGCTCTGAAAGCCCAACCAAAATAAATCTAATCCCTCCTTCCATATGGCAGTCCATTAAATACAGGAAGTTTGATTTTTGTCAAAACCAAAAATTTAATGAAGAGGTCAGAGATCCTCCCCCGGGAAGCCAGATGGCTACAGAGAATACTTAAGATCCCACTTATATCTAGTACTGAGTCCATCCAATGCTTGTGTTTTGGGGTTCCCCAAATTTGAAGGTTTATGTTTATATTTCTTTCAATCAACCTAAATTTGATTGTTTATGCTTACCGAAATACATCTCAATGGACCTCATCTGTGAACTGCCAAAGCAAACACTACAAAATAGTTTAAATGCTACCTGCAATTCCTGCTGGTATTCTTCTTTGAAACCTATGTAATGTAAACCTCAAAGAGATTAAAGAGAAAGTCTTCTGGCTTTCCTTCTCTACCAGATGACCTAGTAAATTTTTACTAAAACTATTTCAGAATTTAGGGAGCTGACATTTACAGAGTGCTTAAACCTTAACTAATGCTTTAAGACATTATCACATTCAACACTCACAAAAACCAAAAAAAATGGTACTACAGCTATTATTACCATTTCAGAGATGACAAAACTGAGATTTCTTGAATGACTTATCCATGCTAACAAAGTTAATAGATTGAAAACATGGGATTTAAACTCAATTCCCTTCTAACTCTAAATCCAATACTCTTTCCCCTACACACCACATCACCAACTACCCTTACATACCTTAGTTTTCTCTTCTCCATGTTAAATGTCCCCAGTTCTTTCAACCAAACCTCATAAAACAGCTTTAAGTTCTTCCTCTCCCACACACACCTATTCTGGTTTTTCCCCTATCAATGCCCTTTCTAAAATGTAGAGCTCAAAATTCCACAGAATTGCTTTAGAGTATAATAGGACTAGTGAGAAACAGATTTGCTGAAATTTAAGGCTAAAAATCAGTAAGATGTTCGATGCTTAGAGGAGGAGAAAGAATGGAAAATGTCTGAGGTCACAGGAAGGAATAAAATTTGTTATGAGGTTGCTGAATAGGTTGCAAACTGACATCAGTTCAACTTGCTCTGTCAAAGGGCCATCTGGGTAGACCTAAAGTTTGTTGAAATTTGTGAACATGTGAAACTCAAAACTTTAAAATCATATGACCTGTTAGGGAAAAACACTGGGAGGTAGGAGGAGTGTTTTAACATTCTCTTTCTCTCTCTTTTTTTTTAGGCAATTGGAGTTAAGTGACTTGCCCAGGGTCACACAGCTACTAAGTGTCAAGTATTTGGTCTGCGGCCTAATTTGAACTCAGGTCCTCCTGACTTCAGGGCCAGTGCTCTATCCACTGCGCTACCTAGCTGCTCCCCTCCTTTTAAAAGGATTTTCTCATCTCTATTGATTCTTTGATTATACACATAAAAATATTTCTAGATTTTACTTTAAATCTCTTTACTCAGCTGAACATTTAATACTGAATTCAATTCAACAGTTAATATAAACCAACTGTGCTAGCACTAGAAATAAAGAGAAAAGGCAGCTCCTGAAGTTTTCAATAGCCTTTCAAAGCCTAGTTTTAAATATTTTTTTTATTTACCTAATCTTTGTCCATATGTGGTATCTGTCCAAGATAACCAGATAGAGGTTCTACCTATCTAATACATACTATCTAACATATACTGACGGATGTGTTTTATATGTTGTCTATCTAGCTTGTGTTATACTACAAATTAAACCTTTTTTTTTAATTGTACGGAGAGTTAGGCCAAATTCTTTTGAGTGTTTATAGATTACATCCAAGAAGTCTTTTTTTTTTCATCTAAGAAGTTCTGTAACATTCTAGGACATGGCTCTCTTCCACAATAATGGTGAACACCTTTGGTGAGACTACATCTACTTGCTTTATGCCTTGCTTAATATTAATGTTCTTGAAGGTGTTATGTCTTTTGAAGGTGTTATGTCTTTTGAGGAATTCTGCATACCGTATTTCACCACATAATCACTGCAGATTTTACCCAAAAAGTGAATTGTGAACATTATGTGAAGCCCTTTTTTTTTTAAATTGTGCCAGTATTACTTAAAAATCATTTATTACTAAACTGTCTTTGGCGTAAGTTTAGGATGCAAGGAATACTCTTGAATATACATTAAAATTGGAAAGATGTAAGTCTTACCATATCACATGACATATTCATGGCAGCTTTGCCTTCCTGCCCGCTCCACTGGTGCCTATGATTCTTCACTGGGTTGAGTGACAATACCATTAGTACTGCAGCACTCTAAACAAACCATGCAAGTCTACTTTCAGAAATATACTGACAATGAGTGTGCACTGAGAATTCTAGGCCAGGTGCTCGCAATGCATGAGAGATAAATGTGTATCCACCACTGGCAAATACACTGCTGCTCTGTTTACCTTTTAAGCCATGTGACAAACAGAATTATATACCATGTGACTGATTACACAACAAAAACCAATTTTTGGATTGAAAAAACATGGTGAACAATCTGCGGTGAAATATGCTAATTCTGAGGTATGCATGGGAGCTGCCTTTTTGAAAGAGAGCCATCAAAGCAGCATTTTGCTCCACTGAATCAAAAGCACTTTTAAAAATAGCTAATAAACAATAAGAATGTTATCTTTTTTCTCTATAACTTTCAATCAATTAGATGATGATAGAGATTGTTTACTACAGAATAACACTTTGCAAAAACCTAACTGTTCCTTACTAATATGCTTATTAAAGATGCTCTCAATATATGTGTAGACCATCATAAGAATTTTTTTTTTCAGAAAAACCTCAAATACTATTTATCAAAAAAAAAAAAAGATACAGAAAATAAAGAAATAAGCTATGCCACATTTTCTCATGGAAATGCAGAGCTACTATTTCCAATATGAAAAAAGATCCTCCCCCAATCCTCACTCTGGTTTTTTAAAATTTTATTAATTTATTTTCATTTATCAACAATCACCTCCATATGTTTTTGAGTATAAAATTTTTCTCTCCCTTCCTGCCCACCACCCTCCCCAAGACAGTGCACAATCTCATATAGGCTATACATTTACAATCCTATTAAATATATTTTCACATTAGTGAAGTTATAAGTAAAAATTAAAACCAATAGGAGGAACCATTAGAAAGATGAAACAAAACTCAACAGAAGAGAGAAAAAAAAATGATAGTGATTCAACTTCCATAGTTCTTTCTTTGGATGTGGATAGCATTTTCTATCACGAGGCCTCTGGGGATGTCTTAGATTCTTGTATAGCTGCTGAGAAGGTTTAAGTTTATCAATATTAGTGATTGCACAACGTGGCTGTTGTGTACAAAGTTCTCTCGTTCTGCTCATTTCACTCAGCATCAGACCATATAAGTCTTTCCAGGTTTTTCTGAAGTCAGCCTGTTCATCATTTCTTATAGCACAATAGTATTCCATTATATTCATATACCACAACTTGCTCAGCCATTCCCCAATTGATGGGCATCCTTTCAATTTCCAATTCTTTGCCACCACAAAAAGAACTGCTATGAATATTTTTGTACATGTGGGTGGTACTTTTCCCATTTGTATGATCTCTTTCGGATATAGCCCTAGAAGTGCTATTGCTGGGTCAAATGGTATGCATTTTTATAGCCTTTGGGCATAGTTCCAAATTGTTCTCCAAAATGGTTGGATCATTTCACAACTCCACCAACAATGTATTAGTGTTCCAATTTTCCCACATCCTCTCCAACATTGATCATTTTCCTGTTTTGTCATGTTGGCCAATATGATAGGTGTGATGTGGTACCTCAGAGTTGTTTTGATTTGCATTTCTCTAATCAATAATGATTTAGAGCATTTTTTCATATGACTATAGATGGCTTTAATTTCTTCATCTGAGAACTGCCTGTTCATATCCTTTGACCATTTATCAACTGGGGAATGAATGGCTTGTGTTCTTATAAATTTGTCTTAATTCTCTATATATTTTAGAAATGAGGCCTTTATCAGAGAGACTGGTTGTAAAAATTCTTTCCCAATTTTCTATCTTCCTTCTAATCTTAGTTGCATTGGCTTTGTTTGTGCAAAAACTTTTCAATTTAATGTAATCAAAATTATCTATTTTGCTTTTTGTAATGTTCTCTATCTCCTGTTGCGGTTTCTGTTGGTTTTGGTGTTGATATGCTCAATTATGCTGACAGTTTTCCTAATATTGAACCAACTGCATTCCCGGTATAAATCCTACCTGGTCATAATGTATTATTCTTGTAATAAATTGCTGTAATCTATTTGCTGGTATTCTGTTTAAAATTTTTGCATCTATATTCATTAGAGATATTGGTCTATGATTTTCTTTCTCTCTTTTGACTCTTTCTGGTTTGGGTATCAGCACCATATTTGTATAATAAAAAGAATTTGGTTAAGACTCATTCACCTTTTTTCCCAAATATTCTATATAGTATTGGAATTAATTGTTCTTTAAATGTTTGATAGAATTCGCATGTAAATCCATCTGGCCCTAGAGATTTTTTCCTAGGGAGT